TAATTCAATTTTTATCATGTTCAAAAGGGAACATGAAGAGTCATGTCCTATTATAATATCACTTGCTAGTGTTTTCTCCTTCTATAAAAAATATTATAACTTTAGGGATTAATTTGTACTTTAAATCCTTTTCGTGTAATTGGTACCAACGTGTCAACAACCTTTCATTTGTTTTTTAATTGAAAAATACATTGAAAATGCAGGAAATGATTTGGACTATTCTCTCCATTCTTGTGTTATGGGAACGCCTTTGAAGGCTGCAGGAGCACACAAGCTCTTGTTTGTATGTTGCACTACCCATTCATCTTCCTAAGATTTCTGGGTTACAAGCGTTGGGCTGCAAGCCAATCCATAGTCCAGAAATCTTTCTGACGCATGGAAGCTCTTTGAGTGATGTTTTGTCGGATAAATCCGAAGTTTTGGTGTTTGTTGGTCAATTCGAGGGCCTTTATAGCTCTACCTTCTTCAATTAGAATCCTTCAAAAGATATAGTTGAAAAGGAGGCCGATTTGTAAAAGAATTGTTCTCTTTTCAACCCTCAAAAGTTACAGCCTTTCCTAAAAATCAACTAGTTATTTTTACAATTGAAAAGTGTTTCATAAAAAAATGGATTTTTTTTACTTCAAATTATTTTTTTTTCAAAAATCAACTAGCAGAGCAATGTCACCTTCGGCACAAATTGGCAGAATTTCAGCCTTACATGAGACAAACGCACATATCTGTCCAAAGACCACCGAACTGCCACTACAATTGGCGAGTCGGGGGCCTTTTCAACGTTCTTTCTTTTTGAAACAACATGCTTGCCGGTGTCCATTGCCATAAAAGTACTAAAAATATGACCTCAAAATGATCAGATAAAATTTCTACAGTTAATTCTGACAAGTTGAAACGATAACCATAGAAGTGGCTGAAAATAGAAATTACGAGGAGAACGGATCTCAAGATCCATTTGGTCCCAAATAATACAGGGATAAGAAGTTTACTTGCATCAACCAGTAAAAGAACAAAATCCATGCTCACACAGGTTTTGATAACTTCATTGCATTACTTGTTTGTGATTTTCTTTATTAGATTTGTCGCCAAGATGAACAATGGATATGACTTGGTCATTGTGATATGTCCCGGATGAAGGCATTAATGTCAATCTCAGAAGTTCCACCTTCAGCAATTGCATGTTCACATACTAGTTGAAGCTCTCTTGATCTTCTCCTCATTTCTTTGACTTCAGCTCTTTCTAAATCCATAAATTTCTGCACAAGCCCTGCAATTTCCTCTCTTGCCACCAAAGTTGTAGCTACCACCTCTTTCTTTATTCTCCAACCTATCTTCCAATCCTCCACAATTACCTTACTATGAGTCAGTTGGTCAGCAAATATAGGGAAGGTAAGAAAAGGCACACCAGCAAAAATACCTTCTTTAACAGAATTCCACCCGCAATGTGTCCAAAACCCCCCCACAGAAGAATGGCACAACACCTTCAACTGGTCACACCATGGTTCTACCAACCCCATATCACCACAAATCTGTCTCAACCTACAAGTTTTATCGCGTGCCACCCACAAGAATCGGACACCACTATCACACAAACCAGCTGCAATCTCATCCATTTGTGCACTTGAAACTGCAACATGGCTTCCCAAAGACACATAAAGAACTGAACTTTCAGGTTGGCAATCTAGCCATTGTAGAATGTTGAGTTCATTGTTATTGCTACTTGAAGAAGAGTTGTCTCTAAGTTTCAAGTCAGGTATGGCAGGACCAATGGTATAAACGGGAATTGAAATTTTATATTTTAAAGCCTTTATAACTTGAGATTCAAGCTCATAAATTGACGGAAGTAAGAGGTACCGTGCTTTAGGAATCCACGAAATAAGGTCCAAGGTTCGGTGAAGTGTATATTGGTTGCTAGCAAATATGAGGGATGGGAGATCCAATAGACGTAATGGAGAAACTCCGGGGATGTAATCCACTATTTCATTACCCTTTTCTGTACCCAAATAGAGAAGTAGGCATACAGCAAGCAAGTTATCAGTATTTTGCATTTTTTATGGACTTATAGAATCACTGAACAAAAAAGAATTTATAAACTCTTAGTCATTATGTAATGCTCTGTATCAATTGAAGCTTTTCTATTCATTCACTACATGTATCATTTGTGGCTAATGTAACCGACAGCTTTAGACAGAGAGTCCATTATATATACAGCAAATTTGACATGCTAAAGCAGTACATTTATTATCTCTACAATAAAAATAATTCACATGCTAACATAAGATAAATCCATTTACAATTACTAGGCAACGAGGATCTCAGAAATTTTGCTAAGATATATTATATGTATTATAATAGCAGTGGAATAATTCTTGCAGAAACTAAATTATAACCCTTCTCTGAAAAGAGGAAAGAAAGCTAGAGTTGACCTTACCTGACAAGTCCACGGGGAAGTGTCCATGTTGTGCAAGAAGATCAAGATGATAAAACACAGAAAACACTGTCGAAGACATAGGAAAAAATGAAGCCACCGGAATATTCCTTCGATTCCCGACACCAATCGCCCAAAACAGGAAAGCATCGGTCACTATAAGAGTAGGCCTCAAAGGCTGATGAAAACTATCAAGAAGCTCCTCAACCGGAGTCTCCATCTTAGTCAAGACAGCTTCAATGAACCCAATTGGATCAGCGTTGCGGACCAGCTCTGATGGAATAACGTTGGGTATGGAGCCAAATTGGAGGTTACTGGGGCTGCTGTTAGAACTGGAGCTAATGAAGCCAAGCCATTCTTCAGTAACTACAAAGGTTATCAACGTGTCTGGTTTTTTTGATGCAAGTATGTTGCAGAAGTTCATCAAGGGGTTTACGTGGCCTCGACCTGGATAAGGTATGGCCACTACGTGGCAGCTATAGGTTGGTTTAACGGTAACAGCATCCATGTCTGAAACAAGGCGAGGATACTTGGCTGTGAATTTCCAAGCTTGTAGAAGAAAGGAGTAGGTTATTTGTGAAGTGTAGATGACGACAGTGCCTTCTTTAAGAGATGGTGGAGTGGACACAGGGATTCCAACGTCATCGAGTCTGAGTCATCCGAAGAAAAGTCTCAGTTGCTTTTTGTGGAAAAGGGTAAAATTGATGCCTTTCCATAGAAAACAGAACGATTATAGCCATCCATCCATCATATGCATCACAGTGTAAAGATTACCCAACATTTTCTTTGAAAGATCAATTTAACTCTCAATGGAACATGATGAGGAGGACCAAATTAGATTTCAAAAAGAAAAAGAAATACTATGTATATTTACTGTCTGAACTCTCAATGGACTCTATTTGTGCGTGGAAATCGAAGTACAATGTCAACGTATCAAGTCAAGTTTAAAAGAGCCAATCTAGTTCAATAGGGTAAGCACAAGCATTCAATAAACTGACATTGCTACGCTCCCTAACAGATTCATTCATGAACTTCTTTCTCATTCTTCGTGCTCTCCCTTTATTACGCATTTGAGTAATCTTGCAAGTTGCAACCAAATTCGTAATTAGAGTGGACATTTAGTTTTAGACAACAAGGAACAAAGCCAAGAAGTTTAGCCACAAGGAAGCAGCAGGAATATTTTGTTCAAATTAATATGGCTGCGGCATGCTATGCCTTTGATGAAGGCTTCAATGTTAGATTCGAAGTTCCTTCTTGTTCAATCGCGTGCTGACATGTCCTGAAGCTCTCTTGCTTTTCTCCTCATTTCTTTCCCTTTATTGCTTTTCCAATTCATGAATTCCTGCTATTTCATGTTTTCTAACCAAGCTTTCTGCTTCTGATTTTTCCTGCATCTTGTAACCAATGTTCCATCCAATCTTAATTTTGAATTGAAGCTATCGGGAATGTAAGAAAACTAACACCTGAATAAATGCCTTCTTGAACAGAATTCCATCCACAAAGTGACAAATATTCTCCTACAGAAGAATGACACAACACCCTTAATTGGTCGCACCAGGGAGGGCACTTTTAGTCCCAAGTTACCTCAAATTACTTTCATTTCAGAAGTTTCGCTACGTGCCACCCACAAGAACAGAACACCACTTAACGGAAATCAACTGTGAATTCATCCGTTTGAGTACTGGAAACTGAAAGAATGCTCCATAAATAGTAGTATAAAACAGTTTTACTAGTTTGGCTATTTAACAACTGAAGTAATCGAAGCTGTTGTTCGCTGTAACAGAGAACGAAAACTTTGTCCTTAAAATGTCAATGACTCGAGGTTCAAGTACATAGATTGGAGGGAGTAATAGATGTTGTGCTTGATGCACCAATGAGAAAGCTCCAATAGCTCTGTCCAGAAAGTATTGGCTCCAGGAGAAGAAGATAGCTTCTTCAGGTTCATCATAGACAAAATACTGATATAGTGATCTAGTAGTTTAGATATTAAACATGCACAATCCTGGTATTCATCCGTGAAAAATATTTAATATACCATTTGCTCTCATCAACTGTTTAAGTAAGATACAGTAAACCATTATCTTTTGATTTCCCAAAAGTAAAGACAAGAATTAAGTTCCAGACAACACACATTTGATACAGCAGCTGCATTATAAGGATTTTGACCATTATCCTTTTTCCTAAACCAGATTTACCTTATCACTGTGATATTATCAGAGTACGTAAAACAACCAAGATGAAAGCATTCTATTGCTTAGAAATGATAAATAAAGCTAAAACGTAAATAAGATGATCTAACTGGAATTGGTCATTCAGCTGTATAGACCAAGAAGCCCCTTTCTATATTCTAACTTGCATGTAACAGCACAATTGAGAAATTTCAAGCAGTTCGTTTTGAATTCTGCATTTGAATCTTCCGTTTATATGTTTTTCCACGTGCTTTGTAGTACATACCCTGCACATTGGTGATTCTGATGTATTTGTGAAAATGATGATAAGTAACAGGCTCAAATAGATTTTGCTTGCTGCATTTTGCTTCGTTTAGATAATTACCCAAGCAAATTTAATTCAAATGACTTGTGAATGAATTTCCAGTTAACATTTATTCCAGAAAACAAATGGCACATGCTTCAAGTATTCATTCGTAGTTTCATACCAAAAAAAAATGTATTCATTCATAGTTGATAGAACCTAAGAACATGACAAATGATCTGTTACGACCCGAATCTTGAATCCATGATTGGTGCATAGACAAGGTTCCCCTCCAAAGTTTCTATATCTATACGAATCCAAACTTACACACAAACTTATCCTTCAAAACTCAATCAGAATTCAATGCAGCATTAATAATAAAATCAACTTCATAGTATAATTGAATTGTTTTACTATAAGAGTTAATATAATTTCATAGTTTTGGAACACTAACTAGATATAAAGGAAAATGTACAAATTACAAATGAAAAGGTGAGTTCAACAACTCGGTGAGTAGATAACATTCAATATACACACATGAGGTAATACTACAATGAGAAATATATATACAAGTATGGATTTCGGTTCTTATAAAAAAGGTTTCTCAAATAGGCCATAACAAGAATATCATATGGCAAAATCGTCAGAAAATCAAAATGCAATGAGCATGAGGCTCCGTACTGTGGGATGATCAGTCCACACAGGTTATGACTCTCCCGACCAACTAGGGTTCAGATATGATGTGCACAAAGATTAACATTACCCTGTTAGCATGGGTATTCTAACTAATATACCATAGGTTCATAATCATAACCAAACAGACATATTCATATCTCAAGGCTCAACTGATGACATCAATCAAATGAGAAGCTATCAAGTCAAAAGTCAATTCAAAATATATACGGTTTCATATCAAAAATTCAGATTCAACAATTGATCATGTTTTATCATAACAAGGATAATAATTAGTATATATATATTATCAAGAAGCATGATCCAATTCATATTAACAAATCAAATATTTATAATATTTCTCATGTATATGAAAAATTATCCACTCATCTGACTAGAAAGCAAAAAGAAGTTAAAAGCAGACACCTAAGAAAATCTCATAGACGTTCTACCAATAGAATATCAGGATTATCTGAATACAAAGGAGACATATTCAAGAATGACTCAAAAGAATATATAACCTATTTAATACACTTATTTAAGGATATATTCCATAACCCTATATATTTTTGAACTAATTAGTTATATTCCAAAAACCCAAAAATTAATAGTTTTCTCAAAATCCAATCCATAATAAAATAAATAATAAAATTGGTAATACTTCACTAACTAACCCTAAAATTGGTAATAATTCACTAAATAACCCTAAATTATTCATCAAACCAATCTAAAAAAGCTAATATCACAGCTAGGGACTAATATGAAATTTATCATATTTTTAGGCCTAAATTGTAATTTTCATCTAATTAGAGGACCAAACTAAACATATCATAAATTCATGAATATAGTGGAATTATGTCCATAATTCATCCTCATTTCTGTCTAGAACCTCTAATTATGCTCCAGGGACCATTCTGGAATTTTTCTAAATTTTTAGGGTCAAATTGTAATTTTTGTCAAATGGAGTACCAAACTAAAATTTTCATAAATCCATGACTATACTGAAATTCTGACCATAATTAATCCTCAATTCTGTCCAGAATACCTCATTATGTTCCAGGGACCATTCTAGAATTTTACCAAATTTATAGGGTCAAATTGTAATTTTTGTCAAATGGAGTACCAAACTAAAATTTTCATAAATCCATGACTATACTGAAATTCTGACCATAATTAATCCTCAATTCTGGCCAAAATATCTCATTATACTCCAGGGACCATTCTGAAATTTCACCAAATTGTTAGGGTCAAATGGTAATTTTTGTCAAATTAGAGGACTAAATTGAAAGTGTGAAAATTTCATAACTATATAGTAATTCTGCCCATAATTCATATGTTATTCTGTTCAGAATCTCGGGATATGCTCCAGGGACTAACCTGTAAATTTTCCAAAGTTTGGGGACTAAACTGTAATTTCCACAAATTAAGGGACCAAATTGAATTTTCATCATCTTCCACCTCCAACCCAGAATTTCAACAGAAAACTCACTGTTCTTTCCTTATTTCTAACATAAATTCAACATTCAAACAAAATCATAACTCAAAATCATCATCTTTCAATTCAATCTCTCAAAATCAACCAAATAATCAAATACCCACAATAATTAACCTTATAACATTCAATTTAATTCATCAATTAAACCCAAAATATAAATTTTCAAAACCTTAACATTTATCAAAACTGAAATTAAAGCTAAAGAAAACATAATATACATATTAAAGCATAATCTTACCTTTTTCACTTATTTCCTCCAACTTCTTTCTATTTCCCTTTTAATTTTTTTCTTTTTTCTTTTTTTTCTTTCTCCCTTCTCTGTCTTGCCGATTCTCTCTTAAATTTTCAGATTTCTCTTTAGTTCTTTTTCCTTCTATTTATATTTATTATGTTTATTTAATTACCACACTACCCCTCGTTCACTCTTTAAGCCACAAGGGTTTGTTATATTTTCCAACTCATTAATTATTCAAAACGTTACATGACCAATGCTGATTTCCCTGATGAAGGATTTGATGCTGGTTTCAGATGATCCATCTTTGGAGATTGCTTGTTGGCATATCTCCTGAAATCCTTTCACTACCCTCCTCATCTCTTTTCCTTCATTGCTATCCAAATCCATAAAATCCCGCGCAAGTCCTCCAATTTCCTCCCTTCTCACAAGATTTTCAAGCCTATACTCTTTCTCCACTCTCCTGCCAACCTTCCAGTCCTCCACGATTAACTTGCTGTTGGGGCGTTGATCTGCAGAAATTGGGTAAGTGAGGAAAGGACCACCTGCAAAAACACCTTCTCGAACAGAATTCCACCCACAATGCGTCCAAAATCCTCCTACAGATGGATGGCACAACACCCTCAGCTGGTCACACCAGGGCACTACTAATCCCTTATCACCGCAAACCTCTTTCAACCTAGAAGTTTCTCCACGAGCCACCCATAAGTATCGAACACCGCTATCATGCAAACCGCCAGCAATTTCATCCATTTGGGCACTGGAAAATGAAAGAAAGCTCCCCATGGAAATGTACAGAACGGATTTACTAGGTCGGTCATCTAACCATCTCAAGTAGTCAATGTCACCATGTGCGGTCATCGCATGAGATCCATCTTGAAGTTTCGAGTACGGTATTGAAGGACCAACAGTATAGACAAGAAAGGAGAATCCTGCTTTTATAGCATCAATGGCCTGGGGTTCGAGCTCATAGATGGAATGGAATAAAAGATATTGTGCTTTAGGCACCCATGAGAATACCTCCACGATCCGACCCAACATGTATGGGTTGCTCCCATTAATGAAGGAAGGGAAATCCACCAGGCTTGTTGAAGAAACTCCTGGAATGTAGTCCGCACGTTCATACCCTCTCTCTAAACCTCACACACAAAGGAAACAAAACATGAAGCAAATCCCATTAAATCTCTGCATCTGGATCCATAAGTAATTAGAGCAATGCACAATCTTTCAGCAATGCAAATATGATCGTAGATTCATCTTTCATTCTCTTTATTTCTTTTTGCTGGTATTTTTACTTGTTCCAATACTATGGATTAAAAGAAATGCTAATGCCATTCAATCATATAGTTTGAAAACCTGCCCGGTATAAGAGTCAATCAGGTTACTGGGCCATTGGTTCAATCAATGATTCATGAGAAATCAAACCTTATTATCACTTGAGAAAAAAAAATTAAATATATAAAATGTTTTGAAAGAACAGTAGTACTAAAACTACAGATATACAAAGACACAGCTAAAAGAGCAACAATATTACAGACTGAAATTGTTCAAACAACATGAGTGATTTTAAATTTCCATCTCTTCAGTAGATTACCAGAGTGTTGATCTCCATGAAGCTTAAGCTTTGAACTAGTTGAATAATTCAAATCATGGCATATCTTTTGAGAGTTCTAATTCCATGAAAATTAGGCGACCATCTTCAATAGTAGTTCAAACGTAATGCCCTAAACACATTTGATCATAGTTTGAGTTATAAAATAGTAATGATGGATGATGCCGAATATTCAATCTGCCTGCTGAAAATCTATATGAAATTCTTTTAGAAAAAGAAAAAAATAGTGAAATATGAAGATAGATCCATTATAGGACTCTTAGTTCTATCATTTTTCCATGTTCATATTCTGAGAAAACTGACAAGAGATGGGTTTGTGAAGCTGTTCTCACCTAACAAATCCACCAGGAATTGTCCATTTTCCCTGAGAAGATCCAAATAATGAAACATTAAAAACACATTAACTGACATAGGCCAAAATGAGGCCACTGGAATATTCTTCCTATTCCCGACCCTGACAGCCCAGAGCAGATATGTATCAGTTATTATGACAGCCGGCGGATGCACAAGATGATCCAAAAATCGCTCAAACAGAGCTTCCATGCTTGTCATGAGCGCTTCAAAGAACTCTAGCATGTTGCTAGCGCGAACTAGCTCAGACGGGACAACATTGGCAACAGTGCTGAAGCTTATTTGATCAGGCTTAGGATCAGAACCGATGAAACTTCGCCACTCTTCAGTGACTACAAAAGTAACACGGATGTCATCTTTTCTTCTAACAAGTGACATGCATAGTTCCATCATGGGGTTGATGTGGCCTCGACCTGGATAGGGCATCGCCACCACGTGACACACGGTGGCTGCTTCCCTGTAAATGTATCCCATCTCTGATGAAAAGGGATGGTCAATTTGGTGGACGCTTGACAGTAGGGTTTGAGCCCATTATATTCAGAGGGGCATAAGGAACTGTTCTCCATGAAATGAATACAATAATTAGACTACCAAAAAAAACGACCAATTGTTTCGTAGTTGACCATTTTTTTGTTGATGTTGCTTTCTAAACTAGTTTGATGAATTCTAGGATAGAAAGACAAACAACTCAGCAGTAGCTCTCCTAGCTTAAAGAATCTTCCTCCTGCCAAGGTTCTATGACCTTTAACTTCTTGCAATTTGTTTTGAAGGTAGTATAGTCTTCTATGGAATGGTTTCGAAACAATGGTGGGTTGATTGTTTTCCCTTTCCTTTCTTTCAATTTGTTTTTGGTCAAGCAATTGAGATCGAGGAGACAAAAATAGAACAAAGGTTGCCATGCATTGAAGTAAATGGTCCATCGTCTCTTGCAGTATGCAGGAGGTTGCCAGTTGGATCGAAACTTTCAGTACAAGAAGCTAATGTTTAGCTCTATATATTTGAGAACAGTCCTTTCCTTATGCGGCGGCTGTCTTTATAACGTCGAGGTAATTAGATTATATCAGTTTAATTTTTATTTTTTACTTGTATTTAAAATTTAAATTATATAATTTTAAATTAGTTTATTTTTGAATTTAAATTTAAAATATATTTGTTATATATATATATATATATATATATATATATATGAATTGTATAATTTCAATATGATATATTAAAATACTCTAAAATAAAAATATATCATTCTAATTAAAAAAAATAAAACATTATCTAAAATAGAATTGACAATCTTATTTTGAGTGTTGAGTTGCATTATGTAGCTTTTAAACTGTTAGATAATAATAAAAATCATATCTTGTGGTCGTATTTAATAACTTAATTTTTTAGATTAAAATAATTTTTTAATATAGTATGAGAGTTTTGATAATCAAATAGTTACAAGTTCAAATCTCATTATTCTCGTTTATATAATAAAAATTAAATATAAAATAATATAAATTTATACAAGTTTTAAGCTAAAAAGATTTTTATTTTAATAAATATGTTAAAAAATAATATAAATTATAAAATCTCACTTAACAGTTTAAATTTTTAAATTGAGATGGTTGAATTGCAGGATGCAGCTATACACACATGACATGATGCATTGTTTAGCATCAATCCTAAGTATGTCAGGACAACTTAGGCTGCCAAGGCTGATTGTAAGAGGAAGAATTCATAAGGAAATAGCAGCCGGGGAATTCAAATATTATTTAACTATAGAAGTTATAAACTAAATATGGAATTATGTGGTTTGCGCGCGCGACTGATTCTTGTTACTATGGTTTCTTATGCTGAGCTGAATAACATTGCTGGAGAAAGCAAATAAAGGTCATAAAATTCACAATATTCATCAATGAAAATTCACTTCATTTGCATCTTTTTGTGTTTTTCAGAACGTGGAGAAGAATGTGTGGACTACATTCCTGGAATTCCTCCAATACGTTTAGTAAATTTTCCTACAGTATTCCATGGAACTGGTCGCCAAACCTTGCCCCGAGCTTTAGAGCCCGTTTCGCTGGCGTCGAAAGCTCAGTATCTTCTTTTCACTTCTGTCTATGAGCTTGAAGCCCAAGTCATTGACGCTTTAAAGTTGAAATGGCCTTTCCCTGTTTACCCTGCTGGCCATCCTATTGGACCTACACCTTATTTCGAACCCAAAGACAAACACTTCAGTTATTAGCAGTAAACACGATATCCCTGGCTACATTGAATGGCACAATTCCCAACCTAAAGGTTCTGTGCTGTATGTTTCAATGGGAAGTTTCCTTTCAGTTTCAAGTTCCCAATTGAATGAAATTGTTGCTGGGGTTCATAATAGCGGCTCTCGGTTCTTGTGGGTGTCACGAGGGGAAACTACTCTTTTTAAAGATGGCTGTGGTGATAAGGGGCAAGTAGTGCCATGGTGTGACCAATTGAGGGTGTTGCGCCATCCCGCTATTGGTGGTTTTTGGACACATTGTGGGTGGAATTCCACTCTAGAAGCTGTTTTTGCTGGAGTTCCAATGCTTACTTCTCCTATATTTTGGGATCAAATTCCAGACAGAAAAACAATTGTGGAAGACTGGGAGATAGGGTGGAGAGTGAAGAGAGAGCTTGGAAGTGAAAATTTGGTGACACGAGAAGAAATTGCAAAGCTTGTGAAAAGTTTTGTGGATGCAGAGAACAGCGAGGTCAAAGAAATAAGGAAGAGAGCTAAAGAACTTCAAGAGACTTGCAGTGCAGCAATTGCAAAGGGTGGATCATCTGACACCAACCTTGATTCTTTCATCAGGGACATTTCACCAGGCCAGGCCAAGTGAGCAGATTGATTATGAATTAAGTAGTGTTATTGAATAATAATTGCTAGCTGATTTAGGGTCTGCGACGATGCGTTTTCGGAAGTGATTGTGAATTTGGAACTCTTCTTTACGAAATCTGCATTATAATATCGAAGTCTTTAAGCAGAATACGTTGACCAGACATTTAGGCTCTGTGGCTACCAATTTAACCCCCATCATTTGCAAAAACGCTGCAAGACAAAGGCAATATAATCACAATTTACGTTAATTCCGTGACCACTTGTATTTACGTAATCCAAATCTCTTCGCTCTCGGTATATAAATCCAGAGCATAAATAAATATGTATGTTGGTGAGTTGTCAGTTTCTTGGTGCATAAATCCAACAAGACAAGGACAAGGACAAGAACATGCAACAACTTTGCTGTAGTAACGCAGTAGCCTCGTTAAAAGACATCTGCGTATGGTTTGTGTATTTTTATTTGAATAGAGCATTGGGAGCATTAACTTGTCACTATTCCTGAATTATGCGGGCAACACACAGAAAAAACAGAAATGTCAAAATCAAATCAAGTGGTGATATTGTCATCTTCTATATTTCTTTTAAATGCACATCATATGCGAGTCCTTGTCTCGCTAGCCTTTGATTGCTTCCGTTCCACTACAAATTATGGAAAGAGAACACCTTCCGTTCAATTCATTCTAGATATACAGATGGACTCTAACATGGACGCCGTTGACCAGCGATCAACAACCAACTGCCATGTGTTAGCAGTGCCCTATCCTGGCAGAGGCCATGTCAACCCCATGATGAATCTCTGCAAGTTACTATCTTCAAAGAAACATGATATCCTCTTCACTTTTGCTGTTACTGAAGAGTGGCTTGGATTCATTGGCTCTGATACTAAACCCAGCAACATCAGATTTGCCTCGATACCAAATGTCATTCCTTCTGAACTAGTCCGAGGAGCTGATTTTCCGAGATTCTATGAGGCTGTGATGACAAACATGGAAGGTCCATTTGAACGGCTACTTGATCAGCTTGACCCGCCAGTGACTACTATCATAGCCGATGCTGAGTTACCATGGGCAATCACCATTGCAAACAAGAGAAATATTCCAGTGGCCACACTTTGCACTTTGTCAGCAACCGTATTTTCAATATTGTATCATTTTGCTCACATAAAAGACCTGCAAAAGCTAGCCAATTTGTTAGGTACTATTAGTGTGATTTCTTAACATAAATTGCTTCTCTCTTGTCTCTTCCCATGCTGATTTTTCCCTCATCGGACTAAAATGAGGGACATCTATATGTTCTTGCTTGCATTCAAAATTGATATTTTATTCCTCTTGAGACTTGACGAATAGAAATCACTGATGGAAATTGGTGCATGTTTGCCTATATTTAGATGATGGAGAAGAGATTGTGGACAACATTCAAGGAATTTCTTCAAAGCATGTATTAGACCTTCGAACAATCTTCAATGGAGGCGAGGCACGAGTTATGCAGCTTACTTTGGAAAGCATTTCATGGGTGCCAAGAGCACAATATCTTCTAATCAACTCCGTCTACGAGCTTGAATCCCAAGCCCTCGACGCACTAAAAGCAAAATTACATTTACCAATCTATCCAGTTGGTCCTTCCATACCATACTTTGAACTTAAGGACAACTATTGTGTCACTGCAGGTTCTGATAGCACCAACTATTTCCAATGGCTGGATTCCCAACCTATAGGCTCTGTTTTGTATGTGTCATTAGGAAGTTTCTTTTCAATTTCCAGCAAACAAATGGATGAAATTGCTTCTGGGTTGAGAAATAGTGGTGTTAGATATTTGTGGGTGGCTCGTGGAGAAGCTTTACGGCTAAAAGAGAGTTGTGGTGAAAAGGGGATAGTGGTCCCATGGTGTGACCAGTTGCAGGTCTTGTGTCATTCTTCTGTAGGGGGATTTTGGACACATTGTGGGTGGAATTCAAGTCTTGAAGCTGTTTTTGCAGGGATTCCAATGCTTTCTTTCCCTTTATTTTTCGATCAAGTTCCCAATAGTAAGCAGATCGTTGAAAACTGGAGAATTGGGTGGCAAATGAAGAAAGATGAGGGGACTCAAATTGTGGTTAAAGGAGAGGAAATTACAGCGCTTGTGCAAAGGTTTATGGATACGGAGAACAGTGAGGGGAAGGATATGAGAAGAAGAGCGAAAATGCTTCAGCAACTGTGCGGGCAAGCAATAGCAAAAGACGGATCTTCTGATAAAAACCTTGATGCTTTTATCAGAGATATTTCAGAAAATTCCTGATGCTTCTTGCAAATTGTAGATATTTCAGAAGCATGTTTAAGCAGCTTAATGCAATTGAAACCTACTAGATTTCATGATTTGAAGCTTGTATCAATTGGCTTTTCATGGAGTTCAGAAGTATCTGAAACATTACTCATTTAGATGTAAACTGCAAATGCATCAGAGAGCTGTCGACCGTTTTGACAATTTCTTTGGCTGGGAAGATTATCATTCTTAGATTGAATAGCATCAGCATTTCTTTCTTTCTTTTTTTTTTTGGTATGGATCAGCATCTCTTTTAATCAACAGGATTGGAGCACGTAAAATCCTAGCAAAAAGAAATAGAAAGAATGGAAGATGAATCTAAGATCATATTTGCATTCCTGAAAGATGATACGTTGTTATATTTTATGGATCCAGATGCAGAAATTACAGTAGCGATTTTCTCATTGAGCAACCCAAACGTCATTTTCCAGTGCCCAAATGGATGACATCGCTGGCGGTTTGCATGATAATGGTGCTCGATTCTTGTGGGTTGCTCGAGGAGACACTTCTAGGTTGAAAGAGGTTTGTTGATGAAAGCCCATTTCAATATTGCGGACTCTGTTATCATCCATGTTTTTTAATTAGGGCCCAGATAGAGTTCAGGCCCACACCAATGACAATGGCCTGCCACAGTCCCCTTCCTTTTGGCATCGGAGGACCTCTAGCGGGATTAGAAATTAAAACCATAATAATTATGATTTAAAGTATTTGTAAAATATATATTAAAATAATATTTTTTATTTTTATAAAATTATTTTTAATATCAAAACATTAAAATATAATATAAAAATATAAATAATTAATTTTAAATTAAAAATAAATTTTAAATTAAAAAAACACAATTTTAACAGTGTTACCATACTTACCCTTACATAAGAAAAAGTTCACGCAAAATATCAGTAATTCGGAGATATCAACAGCTAATTTCTTTTCATTTTTTTAAAAAGAAATCTTATATCACTCTGAAAACATTAATAGTTATGTATTTATTTATTGGTTTTAATAATCAAAGTATTCTCCGACCGATAGTAAACCGTTTATATTTATGATATATATTAAACCGTGAATGTTATTGCGAGAAGTAAATTAATTGATTTGAATTTTAAGAAGCTGCTTGATATGTGAACGAAAATAATTAGCATGAACACCGTGCAAACCAGACCTCGATAACACAATAACACCAAATTGCTGGGAAAGCAGAAAAAAGGGAGTAACTATATTTCTGTTTAGATTTATTTATTTATTTTTTTCGTATTAACCACTCCTTACGGGAGGGTGGGGGGGGGTAATTACACTACAAGGTCGATGTTGATATGCCAAATGCAAATGTTCAAACAAGGAGTATAACAAACAAAATGATGCCGTGTCAACAAAAATAAAATTGAATGGCGCAAGATAGAGTAATTTCATGGTGGTCATGAGTAATTATAATTATTGAACTTGAATCGAGTCTTGAAAATAGAAAAAAAGGATATGTTTAGAGTTTTAAATCTTAGAAGATTTTTTTTTTGAAACAATACATGTAAAATGTGAATGTAAACTAAAATATAAAAAAAAAACATGAAATTTAGTATTCTTGTCTCCAATAAAAAAAAAATTAAAAAAATTAATATGAATATATGTTAAAATTTTGTTTGGCTTTGCATAAAAAAATTAAGAATGAAGTCAACTTGATTTTTTTATATCAGATATTAAAACTATGTTTGTTTGATTATTTTTTTGTTAAAGAATTTTTGGCCTAATGGATTGTTTGGCAACAAATTCTTAAATCTATTTTGACAATATCCTTTCAATAAAAATGATTTCTTACCAAAAAGATCTTAAATAAATTTAATTTCTTTTTAGAAAATTCAATGATTAATTTAGAAATTATTATGGGTTCTTTACATGTTTTTAAAGTAATTTAATATCATGGCTTTATACTTATACAGTAAAATATTGATATAGTATTAAAATATCTGTTTTTTATTAAAATATTAAAAAAAATTAAAAATATACAAAAATATATGTTTTATTTGGTATGCATACAGTCAAATCTCTCAAAAATTAAAAATTATATTTTGGCTAAAAAAGATATAAAAAGTACATGTTATGATTTAGCATTTTTTTATACACACAAAAATTCAAAAACTATCTTTTATGTATTTTTAAAACTTAATAACCAGTTTATTAAATATATGAGAATTTAATCAATATTTTTTTTAAAAAAATTAGAATTAATTGTCAATATTTTAATATAAAAATTGAATCTAAAAATAGATTAGTATTTAAATATTAAGAATTCATTAGAAAATTCTTAGAATTTTTTTAAGACATTCATCAATTTAACTAGAAGTATTTTTTTACCATGATATATATGAATTGTAAAAAAATCTTTTATCTTTCAAAATAAATCAACTCTGTCAGGACACCTATATAATTTTTTTCTCACAATAGTTTATTTGAGTATACATATCTATAATAAATTCAAAATATTATATTTATTTGTTAGTGTGAATCTTTATTTAAAGTTATAAACAAATTAAGAACCCATCAATATTTTACAGCTATATAGAAACTATATAATCCAGTTTATCTCATATAAAATACATTAAAAATATTAATACATTTTTTAATTATAACCAATGTTTTACCCTAAATTTTTATATAAGATCAGTTCACTTCAATCTTCTACTGACCCTGAACTATACAAGTAAAGAGCGAGTCTTAGATCCTCGTATCCCACTACACCGCATGTGCACATGCAACAAATAAAATGTCACTATAAAATTTTCAATTGAAGATTTCCTGAGCTGAAATACACCGTGGCACTCCAGAAAACAACAAAAGCATTAATAAAATAGGTCCCCTAAAAGTTGGAAAAGCCAAAGCCATAAAATAAGAAATTTAAAATAATTAGTAATGAAAACGAACAGAGAGAAGGACCGCCGGAAGTATGTGGCATTATTGAACAGTTACTTTTTATTTATACATATGTTAAAATAATATTTTCTTATTTTTAAAATTTATTTTTAATATTAATACATCAAAACAATTAAAAAATATAAAAAAAAAATCAAAAATTTTTAAACGGAGGCCAGGCGCGAAACAGACAGGCACATAGTTTGATTGGTGGATATTATAAAAAATCAATCACTAAATGCCAGATGCAGACCATACTATGGTATGAACAGTACCAGCTCCATCATACGTTATGGGGTTTACAAGAGAAATGCCCAGAAAGTCTAGATAAAATTACTTAACAGATATTTTTGAATTACGGGAGTTGGAGATATTTTTCATTTGAAACAAAACAGAAAGCATGAGATACAGAAAGTCAGATATTTCCAGTTATCTTCTTAAGAAACTCTCTTCACAAATCGACCCTGCAACCAAAAAATATAGAGCACAAGCTATAATCCAAACTAGAATAAAATATGTGAAAAATAATCAAATCGGCAATCGGGTCTGTCTATCTAGAAATTCTTCAAGATATCTTCTTTTCTTCTCAAAGAAGAGAACGAACCTTGAGTCTGGGCCTTTTATCAGCATTCAGTTTGCGAACTTGATATCTTATCTTCTTAGAGAACAGTCTAGTCTGGCGCTTCTCTCTGTATCTAAGCACACTCGCTTCCCTTCTTGTCCTATCCTCTTCCATCACCGGCACCTCTCCCTTCTGAATATTATTTTCCACGTTAATTTTACAGCTAAATCACACACCAGTCAAATTAACATATGCTAATTAAGTACCGAAAAGAAGAAGAAAATCAACTTTGAATGTTCATCTAAGAAAATAAGAGCTTAAATCAAAACATAAAATGCAGTTCCTCAGCTTAAAATCATAGCAATTGAATTAATATATACATACATGTGTAGATGATAGGTTTTCTATTTTCAAGATCCAATTCAGCAAGAAAAGGGAGAGTGAAAAGACAAATTAAGGTGAAGAAAAATAAGTTTGTTGAGTACTAACATAATAGCAATTGCTTCCCATGGAAAGAGAGTAATCATCGGCCAAAAGTGACCCACGATCAGACCATGCATCCAGGACCTCTTGATAATTCAAGTTCAAGTTCAAAGACACTCTCTTCTCATCTCCATCCCACAATCCAAGACTCTTCCTTTATAACCTTACCAGTACTATAATGGCTATCTTCAAACTCAAAGAAACTGCTGCTTCTATCATCAAACCTAAACATTTCTGATCCTTCTTCATCTTCGACAGTTGGATACTCCTCCGAGTCCATAAAATCCCAACCAAGTACACCATTCATTGTATCACTCGACAACCGTTCATCATCTTCAATTCCCAAAATCCCTTCCAGTTCATCCATAACATCAATATCTCCATTGGCATATGCTTCTTCTTTGGTGTTGGAGAATTGAGTAACAACGGTATCTGGTACCGCTTGCTCTTCCTCTTTTGGGTTTTTTAAGAAAGAATTGCACCTCATCCTTTCTCTCTTTCTTTTGTGAATTTTACTCTTTTTTTCTCTTATTTGCTATAATGCATAACGGGTTTGAATATTGTTTGTTTTTATATTTTAAAAATATTTTTTAAAAAATTACATTAAATTTTATTTTTTATTTTAAATTAAAAATTTTAATATTTTTAAATTATTTTAATGTAACTATATTAAAAATAATTTTTAAAAATTAAAAAATATTATTTTAATATATTTTTAAGTAAAAAATATTTTAAAACTAAATACAGTCACATTTCCAGATATAACAGTGAATAATAAATTTTTATTTTTATACATATATATAAATTCTGATCCCACATGGAATCTTATATTCTCTTTCTATTGGTTGCTTCTTTGCCTACTTTGTTGTGATAGGCCAATATGCTCCACCTTGGAGGATTGTGGGGGCCATGGAAACCTTTTTTCTTCCTGTGCACGGGACCAATGACATGTCGAGTGCTATGTAATATTTAGGTAATGTTTATTTTTATATTTTAAAAGTATTTTTAAGAAAATTAAATTTTTTTATTTATTGTAAATTAATATATTTTTAATTTTTAAAAATTAAAAAAATTATTAATATATATTTCAGTATAAAATATTATTTAAAAATAACTATAATCATACTTCTAAATAAATTCTTCTAAATAAACTCTTAAAAATGGTGTGACTTATAGATTGATTGATTAAATTCAGTATCTCACTCTTTCCTTCAGAATAATTATTGGATTAATTAAATTCAGTATCTCACTCTTTCCTTCAGAATAATTATTGGAGGTAAAGTTTAATTTTGAATTATTTTGATGGGTTAATATTAAAAAAAATTTAAAATAAATAAAAATATTATTTTGATATATATTTTTGAAAGCAACTATTACCACAATTTCAAACATTATCTATATTAACTTAACATGATATAAAAATAATTAATTTTTCAATTTGAATATAGTGATTGATACATATATAATCTAGAATTATTGAGTTTTTTAATGAATTAAAAAATTTTAAAAATAAAACATTGATGTTTTGATTGAAACAAAAAAATGACAGAAATTTAAAAATTATTTTTTATTTAAATAAAAATTAGTTTCTGATTTAATATACTTATGAATTTTGATATTTTTATTAAAAGAAAAAAATAAATATTTGCAAAAATCATATGAAATGAAATATTTATTGTGTAATGGAATGTAAAGTACTTTTCGAAATAATTTTTAATTAAAAATATATTAAAATAAGATTTTTTAGATTTTTATTTTATTTTTAATATCTGAAAAATATTTTAAAATATTAATTTATTATTTTTTAAGTAAAAATAAATAAAAACAGATTGAACGTATTATCAAAGACATGATTGGTTTGTTTGACGTACTACCTTCTCCGTCTTAGATACTAAGGTAACTGGTGTTTTTAATGATGGCCGGGTGCTGCAATAATTTGATTTGGTTGTTATAAATTTGTAACTTGATGGGTGATTGCCTTGCCTAACTATTGTTTTTTTTTTCACTAGCTCCTCCTCCACGTTCTCTCAGCCTTTTCGCCTTCAATGAGTAAATATTGTAACGTTCAAAACAATGCCACATGTATTCTTTCTCCATATAAACACCCAGCCATGATCAATCTCCACACCACTTTCGAAATGGCTTTTAATCTCATGCTCTTTCTCTTGGTTGCTTTCTCTGCGTGCTGCAGCTTGGACTGCAACAAGGCCACGGCCGTGGCTCGGCCATTAGCCTCAGCCTCGAACCTTACGGTTCGCTTGAAATTAGATGAAGAGTCATCGAGTTGCTGGGACTCTTTGATTCAGCTCCAAGCATGCACCGGGGAGATCATTCTTTTTTTCCTCAACGGAGAGACTCAACTAGGCCATAGCTGTTGCCAGGCTCTGCGTACAATTGGTGGACATTGCTGGCCTAACATGATTGATACGCTCGGGTTTACCACTGAAGAGGGCCAAATACTTGAAGGCTACTGCGATAAAGCTGCCGATTCCAAAGATCCATATGCACCATCTGTGATTAATGTTGTTCCAAAGCAACCTTTGCTTCCTTGATTAGTTGTGACTGGCTAGCTGCTGATAATAGCTAGCAGCAGCAGCAAGAATAATATAATAATAATAACAACGAATAATTACACCTTTACATTCGAAATAGAAATGTTGGTTTTTTTAAAGTAAAGCTCTACTTTTATATTTAGTACTGTGTTTCATGTCCATTTAGATTTTATTTTTTTTTACAAATTCGTACATTTTACATGATTTTGGCTATATGTCAGCACATAAATTTACTTTGGGTTTTGATAGTATTTTTAAAAATTTTGAATTTTTTATTTGCTTTGAATTATTTTTTTATTTTCAAATAGTTTTAATGTGTTAATATCAAAAATAAGTTTTTCAAAAAATATTATTTTAATATATTTCTAATAAAAAAATATTTTAAAAAACAATTATTACCATAATAATTTCTCACTTCTTAACATTTATACATTGGTTATTTTATAGATAATTTACACAAAAATGGGGCTAAAAATGAATCAAGGAAATTCATGAAAACGAGCCATTAGAAAAATAAGATTAATCAATATCATTGGATCCAATATTAAGCTGGTAATATCTTTAAAATCTTTCCTTGCTATTATTTTTTACTTTTCTCTCCATAATATAACTACCGTGATAGAATTGATATGGATTTTGTTTCTCAAGCATGGACATTTTTTAACGATTAATTAATGGATTTTTAAATCGACATCAATATATTTTTGTCGAGAGAAAGGAACTAAATCCTGAAATCAAATATCACCGTCAAATATACTTAAAAATTCCATAAATTAAGCTAAATTACATAAGGAAAATAGATAAAAAAAAATGATGATAGAGAGAGATTCAAGGAAAAGAATTACCTGAAATAACAAAAGGAAAAATAGAGAATTGTGAAAGGAAAACTTTAAGTGTAAGGTTTATTTTTGTTAAAGGAAAGAAATGTTTTTTCCAGAGTTAAGAAAAGAAAGAAATTTTATTATTTAAAATATTTATTTTGTCTTATTTTATTTTTTCTGAAAACACTTTTCATTAATTATTTTTCTTTCTCAAAAAATTATTTTATATCAAACAAACAAACGAATCCTAGTTAGAGGTTAATGCTAGATGGACTCTAACTGAATTTCAGTTGGGCAATAAGCCCAAGATCGGCCTAGAACGGACAAGAAGATGCCAGCCCATGGTTGGATGCAGGCACGCATATATATGTATAAAATAAAAAAAATGTTTAGGAGAGCTGCTAGGGAAAAAATAAAAATAAATAAATAAAAAGTACCCGCAAAGAGACGAAATAACAACAATGATGCCCACCAAAAAAACTGAACCTGTCCCCGACATGCCTCCTAAAAGAGGGGCCCAAGTCATTTTGGTAATTAGCTGACGATTCTGGTCTATCATTGAACTACAATCTCAATCGTCGGCCCTCTCCTCCATCTTTCAGATTTGAGGTTCAGTGTAATAATTTATTTTAAATGGAAATGTACGATCTACCTTTCTCTTCGACTAAACAATAATAATATCGACGTCATGATCCAGAGACAACTGTCCTATGAGGGTTGCCATTTTGCGCCTTCGCTGATTAATTCTAACTATATCGATCCTAGGGATTACATTTTATTTTTATTTTTTATTCATCAGAGGGTTTTAGCTGGGTGCGTCAACAAAATAATTTGTCTTTATTTCTTGTTTATTTTCATATTGTCAGGGGTCGGTTGTATGGAGGAGTGATCTTTTACGAAGCACAACCATTAAAAGGATCTTTCCATTCTGAGGATCCGTCTCCGACCAACCCCTGACTCAATGTCACCGAGCTAACTCGAAAGAATACCAGGCTGACTATGAAATCAAAAGAAAAAAAGAAACAGTCAGACAAGCCATTGTTTAGATTATTTTTCCCACAACGCACGCAGACATGATTTAGCAATCCAACTAACCCCGATGACCATATAAATCGCTGCAAAAACCGGGGCAAATGCTACGCCCTAAAAGCTTATTCAAGCAGCGCCCTTATGAAAAATTCAATATGGGAAAGGTCATTTTCACAAAAGGAAAATTGTTAAGCATTTTCCAATGAGGGACATGTTAAGTTAACCGCTTCCATATTTGACTTTAAGAAATCTTGCACGTAAAATACTCGTAACCCTATTTGAAGCTAGCTCTAAACCTTAGCTTAGATATATACAAACGCAGGGGAAAAGTTGCTGCGCAGTTCGACTAATATTTAAATTAAACTGTGATTTTCTTCTTACTAATATTAAAATGGGCTTTTCAAGATTCTTTCACAAGAACAGTGCACTTCTGAATTGCTTAATTTGTAGCCCCCATGTCACGTGATAAGATTGAAACAAAGGATGTATGTTATTATTTAGAGACAGGAACAACACAACCATAATTATATGCATGTTATTAAGATGCCAGGATGTGTTAACGTGTTCTGTTAATGAAGCCAGAGGTCTGTCATGAATTAATTTAGCATTTCAATTTTATAATCATATATGTTGAAAGAGAACTACCAAAGGGGACAACATGCCCCGTAATAAGTAACGTCTTAATGAAGAAAAGAGAATTAATGTAAACCCGACTGTGTTTCTGTCTCACATGCGGTAGTGCTGTATATTGGCCTGTTAACGATCGACGTTGACCCCTTAACTCAAATTCCTACATGAAGTTTGTTTTTGTCTCATCTATTCCAAGAACTAAAATTATTAGTCTGATCTCTCTTTCACATGGACACGCACGTGCATACTGCTTAATTACACACAATCATGGATTAATTTGTTTTCCATGAGAAACACAGAGCTAGAACAAGCAAGCTAGGTCAATATTGAACTCAAAATCGATCAGAGAGAACCTTGAACAAAAAGGTTATAATTATTCATTAAAAAAAAACAATTTTCAAGTACTACTCAAGTCCAGAGAGACTCTCTCTTAAGAGGGTCTTGGATTGCATTGCTAGAAGACGCAAAGTTAAAATATTGAGGAATGTTATTGAAGTTATTACTACTGGCTAAAAGAAGTGCCTTCTCATCTTGATCTAGCTGGGTTGGTAAGGTAGGCTCCTGTTGCATCTGGATGCAATTCATCTCTGCCTGAGTAGCTGCAAGTTGTATTTGCAACTGTGATACTTGATTTTGTAAGTAAGATATTGCACCAACACATCCATAGACCGGGTCTCGCACTCTTGCATTTGCTTCATAAACTAAACTGCTCACAGCATCTACTCTCTGATGAATTGGAATCTCCTGCAAGATTACAATAGCCTCATCATTTAAAGGATCATCATTAATATTAAAAACTGCTCAAAGAACGTGCTTTGCTGTTTTCATACACGCATAGTATAGATCAGTACACACACAAATTAAGGAGAGAGGGGGGACCTGCAACATTTTGCTAACATTACTAGCACCGAAGACCTTGTGGACAATGGCAAACTTATGGGGATCATCAGAAGGGAAGTAAGGGGCAAAGATGCAGTCTTTGGCGCACCGGCGCCTTAGCAGTTTGCAGGATGCACATGGTGAAGAACCCCCCATGTTTTCGTCTTAAAATAACACAAAGAAAATTCTCTTTTGATGCAGATAGGTAGAGAGAAAGATATAAAGAAATCCAAAAGGAAGTTCAATGTGGAACAAAATGAGATTGGAATGTGTATTTATAATAGTTGAGGGATGTGCTCGCCTAGTGTGTAGAATGGATGCACATGCATGTTCAAGTTAAAATAAAGAGATTATCATTATAATTAAACAAATAATAAAGTACATGGAAAGAAGCAGCTATGATTCCCAATTGTGGAGGAAAGCACCGTGGAAACAATTGCATGCACATAGATTTAATTACAGTTCAAGGCTTTTGCAATGAAAATCAAATGGACGAGGTTGACCACCGCCGGGGCGCGTGATGGGCTGGCAATGCATTGGTGTACTAGTACTCTTGTCCACGTTCTTGTTTGACTATTTGTTTCTGTGTTCTGATTGTATGTATGTATACTCATATGAGTATGTTAAAAAAAAAAAACAATGTATAGTATGATGATTGTACTATTATACTATTAGGTTTCGAATGTCTAAGCCTATGTTACGTAAAAAAAAATACATGTAGTAAATAAAAGTCTAGACCTCGTAGAGAGTGTGAGAGTCATTAATTGTCAGGCCAGTTTAGGGTTTTTCAATATGGTGATAACGATAAGAAACCTACCTAGCTAACCCGAATCAAAACATAAAAAAAAGATAGGCTAAACATGAATGTTTGTTGGTGACATTAAATAAATTACATGGAAATTTCATTCTAATTTCTCTCTTCCTTTATCTGAATTAACGTTAAAAGTTAGATGTTGCCGTTTATTATACTATTGTTTGCCAAAAAAAATAAATTGGATCCTCTTTTCGTTCTTATCTGTTATTGTTTTACAAATTAATAAAATTAAACTAGGCCAAGAATAGCATAATGCACACACACACACAGCTCTACCAAATCCAATGTCCAGTATATATAATCTCTTGTGTTTAACTAGAATTAAAATTAGATTCTTTTTAAACGATCTCAAATGTATATCCTGAACTTGGGAAAATAAAAATGAAAAAAGAAAAAGAAAACTTCATTAATCGTTAAGCCAACTTCTTAAATTTTGCTTTCAATTATAACAGTAACAAGTATTTGAACAAAAGGCGGTTATTATAATTTGTGATTAATGACACGCCCACTATTTGAGGAGGGATGAGAAGTGCTTGATCAATGGAGCTTTTAATGAGTTGCCCTCCAAGTTTTTCTTTGGCATGCAAAATTCCCGCAACAATTCTGTCAAGCTCGATTCCAGAAATATCCATGCATAACTAATATTTTTTTATAGAAAAATAAAAAAATTCATGTAAAAATTAAATCAAAATAACTCATTAAAAATATAAAAATAAAATTATTTTTTTAATATTAGAATGATATTATATTGGATTGACTTAGATTAACTTTTTAAATTTGCAACTCTGATCATGAGACTATAATAACTTTATATAACACAAATTAAA